CGGCTGCACGCCGCGTCATCGGCGCTCATGCAACCACTGACATCCAGCCTCTTCCTCTTTCCAGCTCCACAGAAGTAGGGCAAAGTAACACAAAACCCCACAGGACTTTACTGGACAACAAACTCAGGACATTATTTATATCGGGAGACGTGGAAAAAGTTTTGTTTAACTTGCAACACTCTGGTGAACAATCCGGAAGCTTGTTTTTCGTCGGCGTCGGAGGTTTCCAGGGTTCAAGCTTTTGTGGAAGACCCTAAACTCGGATCCAGTCGGTTTGGCTGCAGTCTGTTGCGCGTATGTGTGTGTGTATTTGCCCCTCCCGGTCAGGTGACTGAGGTGTGTCTAATCACTAGTGCCTGTGGAGATGCTTTTGTTCAATTCTACCTGTTGGTTAACTGAAAGATGATCTCCGGCTCAGCGGTCAACGGCGTCCTGTACTGAAGTAGGACTCTGCTCGGGGAACATGATCAAATAACATTTGAGGCATCTTTTATAACTTTAAGAAACAATATTGCCTTTATTTTTATGAAAAAACGAGCATTTTTGTGCGCAAGTTATCGCTGAGCCGCTTTATTTTTGACAAGAAAAAAATCGATTGAAAGGCCAGGTCTCACTTTACCATGGAAACCGTTTACCTCGATTGCAAAAGGAGTTTTCTAGTAGTTAACAACCTTTAACAAGAGTTTTTATACTTTTCTGGGATTATAGTGACACTTAAATAATAATAACGAGAAGAAATAAGAACCCGCTTTAATTCGGTTTGTGTGTGGAAACGCTATGGCTCTCTCTCAGGTTCAGTGTCTTGATGACAATCATGTGAACTGGCGTCTGAATGAATCCAAACCGGAGTTTTTTTACAGCGAGGATCAGCGGCTCGCGCTTGAAGCGCTTATCACGAAAGGACGCGACGCATTTGACGCCCATGTGAAAGAGCACGAGCTGCGTCCTTTCCTGTCTGAACCCGAACTCGAGTGGTTGCGTCGGAGCATAGAAGATTATAAACCCGGTTCTGAGCATCAAAAACCAGATGGTACGACAGAGGGAGAGGACGGTGCGATTTCATTGCAGTATTGGCCGGACCGCTCTGATACCTCCATACCGAATCTGGACCTCGGATGGCCAGACTGCAATTCTTACCGCGGAGTGACGCGCGTCAATGTGTTCACGCAACCGCCAGTGGACGGACAGACGACGCATATAAAAGAGGTTGTGAGAAAGGCCATCGCGCAAGCACAGAAGGTGGGTAATCTAGAGAAACTTAAAAAAAGGACGATTGTATGGTCAGTCAGCCACAGAAACACTGTACACCCTCAAAAAGAACCGTTCTTACCCGGTTCTATAGGCTCTTCTGTGACTTTCAAAAGATCGATTTTTTTTTAAAGAAGTATGGTGCAAAATCGTGAACGCAACCCAGTTTTCCTTTTCTTTTAGTGCAGTTAGGCAAATGTCAACCATTTTAACCACAAGAGATTTGGTTTCAGATTTGTGATATGTAAAACTATACTAAATTGTTAAATAATGACAGCGTTCACTTATTTTGACAGTGTGTCGTCCAAAACTTACGCTGAAGCAGCCGTCGGTTGTTATGGTTACATCAGGTGAAAGCGATTTCTGTTCACAGATCCTGACAAACTTGTAGTCTAGTGTCTTGTGGTTACAGAAACCATACATATCTATGTCTGAAACGTTCTTGGAAAACATTTCTGAACTTATGGAAAATTAACATGAATTTCTTGATGTTTCATCATAATAGTTTCTTCAGAAAAGCTTATAAGTGCAATGAACAATAATACTTGTTTTAAATTTAATTGTGGACCTCAAAAAGTTCTTTCACTGTAAAACATTTTTTGGTCAAAAGTGTTAAAGGGGTCATATGACGTTGCTAAAAAGAACATTATTTTGTGTATTTGGTGTAATGAAATGTGTTTATGCGGTTTAAGGTTAAAAAAACACATTATTTTCCACATACTGTACATTATTGTTTCTCCTCTATGCCCTGCCTTTCTGAAACGCGTCGATTTTTACAAAGCTCATTGGTCTGAAAAGCGAGGTGTACGCTGATTGGCCAGCTATCCAGTGCGTTATGATTGGCCAAATACCTCAAGCGTGAGACGGAAATGTTACGCCCCTCACCATACTGTGATGGAGCGACGAGACAAAAACATTAAAACCCATTACAAACGAGGCATTTGTTGCATCCAGTGGGGACATAATTACGGATTATAATGACTTATACTGTCTTTTTACGCATTGCCTTGCATTGCGCTGCGTAAACATAAAACCATGTCTGCATTTGTGATAGGAGAAATGACAAACAACAAGCGCTACTCTAACACTGCCCAAAACTCGCGTTTGAATCATCAGTGGCAAATCCTTTAAATGAAAACGTACTTACAGTCTGTGAGTCAGAACAGCCAGCATTGTAGTCTACTCTACCAGGATCAGGAAACAGTCCTCCATAAAATGTGCTGCACACATCTGAATATTTCGGTTGAACTGT